TAAAGAATAAATATTGCTGATCTCCGAAAAAACGCTTCCGCGCGCTCTCGCCACGACGCCGGCTACATTTTCTCTGAAAACGAGGCTCCCGCTCGAGCGCTGGCTTGAGCCAAAATGTGGGCCCTTGGAGGCCCAGCTACGACAACAACGGCTCCCGCCCGATACTTCCTGACAATTTACCCCGAGACACCCTGGCCAGAGAGGCCCCCGAACTCAGGAACGGCGCTCTCGCTCGAGACTTTCTCGCAAATTCAATGAAGTTGGCGCAGGCCCAGCCACGACGAAAAGGGCTCCTGCCCGATACTTCCTCACGATTTACTCCGAGAGCCCCTGGCCAAGAAGGCCCCCGAACTCAGGAACGGCGCTCTCGCTCGAGATATTCCCGTAATTCAGGCAAGTTGGTGGAGGCCTGGACGCGGCGCCAAGGGCTCCCGTTCGATGTTTCTCCATAAGTATTCCGAGAGCCCCTGGCCAGAGAGGCCCCCGAACTCGCTCGAGACTTCTTCGCACCTGTCAGTGGCCGACAAGGAAACGATTCCCCCAGAAAGGGGGTGCAATCCAAGACGAAGTGGGCGAGTATCGAGGGCTGGGGTATACGGAATGCAAAACACGCGTGCCAGTAAGAGCGAACAGTCTTAAAATGATTGTTGCTGTTGCTGTTGTTGCTGTGATTGTGCTTGTTGTTGTGGTTGTTGTTGGTGTTGGCGTTGGTGTTGTTGGTGGTGGTGTTGTTGCTGTTGGTGTTGTTGCTGTTGTTGTTGGTGGTGTTGCTGCTGTTGTTGTTGTCGGTCCTGTTGTTATTGTTGTTGGTAGTGTTGTTGTTCTTGTTGTTGTCGTTGTTGTTGTTGTTGTGGTTGTTGTTGTTCGTCGGCCAGGGGGCTAGTTTGGTGACCCCAAATTGTCCCTTGTAAAAAACAAGGTGCGAGCCCCGGAACGCTTTCAACTCGGCGCCGCAGACGGCCCACCCCTACAACAACGACGCTCTCGCTCGATACTTCCTTCGTTTTACCTGAGGACTGGCGCTCTTGCTCACCGCCGAAAACGGGCCCTCCATGAAAACTAGCGCTCCCGCTCGATATTCCTTTGACTGTTGCTCAGGAGCGGCGCCATTTTGCTCGCCGCTGAAGGCCCGCGTCCACTCGTGGTGTATGGAGTTCCGGGGCGGCTCGTGTAGCACCCGTGGAGGCGTTGAGGAAGCTGGCCGTGGCCGCGGCGGTGGTGCCGTGGATCTCCGCAGACCTCGCGATGCCGTGGGACCTGACTGCCACGATGTTCGACGCCAGCCTGCACAGGAGAGCCATCATGCGGTGAGGGCATCGGGCAAGGAACCTTGGGAGAAGGAGCCCAGGGTCTGAAAGCTGGTGGAGCTCTAACCGAGACTTGCCCATGGCCATCACCGCCGCCCTCATCAGACGAGGAATCATCCAGGGTCTGAAGCCGCCTGGGTACACTCCTCAGCTACGAGACCTGTGTTGCATCGCAGCAGCAGTTCGGCCCCTGACCTTCGCCCTGGGCTCGGTTTCGTGAAGTGATGGATTTCGGGGTCCTCACGTGGAAAAAAAACAAAAAACAAAAAAAAAAAAAAAAAAAAAAAAAAAATCACTAATCTGGGGCCCCTGGGGCCTCAGTGGGCCCTGGGGCCCAAAACCAGTGGCGTGATGGTTTTTCTGGGCCTCGGATCCAACGAGCGCCTCCACCGTGGCCACCCGAAGCCACGCGGAGGAGCGGCGCGCGGGAGGCCCTGGTCGCCGCGCGAGAAGGTCCGACGGCAGAGCCTGCAGGCGAGTGGCCGAGGGGGTCGAGCCTGGCAACCGCGTCCGCGTGCCGCCCGCGCGCTCCTGCTGGGACGAGGCGTCGAGGTGGAAGGAGGTCGTGCGTGGGCGGTGGGACGAGAAGGAGCACGTCAACTTCTCGAGATGCGGACCTCGCCGTCGTTCGGACGTCCATTCCCCGTGCGCTGTTCGGTTTCGTGCGTGCTGTTTGCTCGATGAGCCAGGATGCTCCTCGATGGCCCTCGCCGAGACAACATGCACACGTCCGAGCGATGCCAAGGGAGTGGCTGCAGTGACACGCTCGGCTCGCCGTCGGGCGAGTGGGGGCCGACGCCACCTGTGCATCGCAGATTCGATGGTGTGCCCGGCTGGCTTCAGCAAGGGGAGGTCGGCCAATAGACCGATCCTCATCTTGTGCCGACGGATGGCCCCCCCTGAACCTTGAAGGGGAACTGGGACACACAACTAAATACACACAAATAACAGGATTCCCCATATTTTGCCACATGTTCTGGGTTTCTGTCTTCCCCCCCACTTCCAATATTTTCCCATATTTTCTGGGAAATCGCCGATTAATTGTGTCTGTGTGTGTTTTTTCCCCTCCTGAAACCTAGGGGTGCGGCACGCGAGAGCACTGGAGGTGGGCACCGCCGGAGCGCAGCCACGGCGGCGGGCCCCGTCGGGGCTGCCCGATCGGCCGTGCCCCCGAGGCCGGTTCGCACGCCCAGGCCATCCTGCCCGAGGGCGCCTCCCCATCCATCGAGACGCTCGCGGGCATCGCCGAGGAGGACCCCTTCGAGCCGCTGAGGCCGAGGCCATCCGTTCGGGTGCGGATGTCGCGCTGCATCTACGGGGGACTCCGAGTATTGGCCCGTCCGCGTCGCTGCGGCGCGGGGCCACGTGCCGAGTTGCCTGAACGCCGACGCCGATTTCGGAGCGGAGGTTGACCCTGACGGACGAGACCAACGTGAGGTTGCGGGGAATGGAGGAACACGTGGGAGGAAGAGGAGGAGGAGGAGGAGGAGGCGAAGGAGGAGGAGGAGGAGGAGGAGGAGGAGGAGGAGGAGGAGGAGGAGGGGAGGAGGAGGAGGAGGAGGAGGACACCGATGGCGGGCACGCTGGGCCTTCGAGTCCGACCTGGTCTCCAGGTGGCGCTTCCGGCCGGGAGGCCCCCCGCCGCTGCAAGCGCGGCAGCAGCTCTGGGCACGGCCGAGGCTTCGAGGAGCTGGCCTGAAGAAGGTGTGCGGGCAATAATTATGTTCATATCCAATGCGTCTTGGACTTTCTCACAAGGGGCGCCGCAGGGCCGAGGCGAACTGGATGTGGATAAAAATCTTGCATCTAGAGGCCAGACGCTTATCCATATCCAATGTGCCTCGGGTTTCCGGGGAAGGGAGCCCGAAACTCCAAGCTGCAGTGGATATGGACAGAAGTTTTGCCCGCAAGGTGCAGCTGGAGAACGCTCAGGCTGTTGAGCAGTCCTCGGCGGTGGACAAGCCTCCCTTCAGCAAGCCACCATCTAATGAAAACGGCCTGCGACCGAGACCGACGGACCTGGACCCGCAAAAACGACGGCCGCGACGCCCTCTCGCGAACCGAAAACAGCCAATTCGCTAATCGACGTGTCAGGGTAGGAGGTTTATCGACCTCCGAAATCTCCAAGTGTCGAGGGCGATCGGCGCGAAGCACGGCCTCGGCATCGCTGGAGCACCCCGCAGACCCGGGGTGCCCCCCGATCCCCTCGCGATCCTCACCACAGAGAAGGTGCATGGAGCGGGAGGCCGCGCGGAACGCCTGGCGAATGGCCTTCCCGCAGTGTATGTGTGCGAGGCGGGGATTTATCCATATCCACCGCCTGGGAACCGACGTCCTGGTGCCCCAGCGGGCGGTGGATATGGATATATTTCGGCCCCCGGGGGCCCCAATACGTCCGTATCCACCGCCTGCCGAGGCTCCGAAAGCTGACCGGTCGTGCACGAACTCCCCCCTCGGAGTGTCTCTGGGGGGATGCACGGCGCTCAAGATGACGACGATCACGGGGACGGAAGAGGAGGAGGAGGAGGACGAGGAGGACGAGGAGGACGAGGAGGAGGAGAAGGGGGAGGAGGAGGAGGAGGGGGAGGAGGAGGAGGAGGAGGAGGAGGAGGAGGAGGAGGAGGAGGAGGAGGAGGAGGAGGAGGAGGAGGAGGATGGAGGAGGAGAAGGAGGGTGGAGGAGGAGAAAGAGAGGTCTGGGCGGTGCCCACGGAACGGTTCGCAGGGCCGTGCATCCACGGATGGCACTTGGCCTCGCTCCGCGGCGAGGGCGCCACGGGGCCGCCGTCGAACGGGGGCGGCGCAGGCCTGCTCGTCCGACGCATGCCGAATGCTGGCCTTCAGTCGGGCCTGTCCTCCTACAGGGGGATGTTGGAAGAAGAATAACAAACACGCAAAAAAAATCCCCAAAGTCAGACGAATATTCAGAAGAACATGATCGACCCACGAACCCGGAAAGGAATATAGAAATGCAATCTTGAACGGACACCCCTCCCAGGGCGTGGGTCCCAAGAGACTCGGAACGGCGTCAGCCTAACGGAAAAAGACAGCTGGCGTGGCGAGGACTTTCATTTCTTTTTACAGCGCCGGAGCTCAGGCCCACACCTGAGTGCACTTGCGATGGCGGCTGACGGCAGAGCTGAAACACTGAGAGCCTCTGGCCCACGCGGCCGAGGAGCTCGAGAAATCTGACAGTCTGGCCAGACCTGAAATCAAACCCGAATTCGCAGAAGTCCAAGCTACTTTGCCTTCCACTCCAGCGTTTCCCTGGGTGGGAAGGGCGGGACGGCAGAAAGGCTTGAGGGGAAGAGGCAGCGGGAGGGGAGAAAGCGAATGCACAAGCGATGAGACCAAATGCAATGCAATCTTGAACGGACACCCCTCCCAGGGCGTGGGTCCCAAGAGACTCGGAACGGCGTCAGCCTAACGGAAAAAGACAGCTGGCGTGGCGAGGACTTTCATTTCTTTTTACAGCGCCGGAGCTCAGGCCCACACCTGAGTGCACTTGCGATGGCGGCTGACGGCAGAGCTGAAACACTGAGAGCCCCTGGCCCACGCGGCCGAGGAGCTCGAGAAATCTGACAGTCTGGCCAGACCTGAAATCAAACCCATATCAAACGCTGGAGTAAATCCCGCATCGACTCCATTGGCTTGCCGAGGGAACACTGCAGCAGGCTAAGCGCAGAGAGGCACCTTACGAGAGGAAGGACAACTGCAAGGCCTCAGCACGCTTAGCCTCTGCCTTCACAGCGGCCGAGAGGCGTCTGAAGGATGCAAGAGCACGGCCGCTCTTCTGATAGCGCTGTACAGAACGGAAGCTCGACCACCTGCCGCGAGACTGAATGTCGGCCAGCGAACGGGCGCCTCTCAGGTAGTCCTCCGACGGACCGCCGTGCCGAGGGAGGTGGGCCGTGACCTTGGTCGGGAGGCCGACGGCGACGGCGGCCTTCTTGAGCAAGCGGTTGTACGAAGCGTACGAGTGGAGGAACATGAGGCGCCCCTGGCGGGCTTGGTTGGCGCTCTTGACGAGGGCCATGAGTGCGCCAGCCACACCCGCACGAGACTGGCCATCGATGAGCACGGTGTCGTCCTGGAGGCCAGTCTTGGTGACGCGCGTGCGCGCGTCGTCACCCATGACCAGCGCGGAGGCACCGACGACGAGCCCCATCTTGTTGTATCCTGAGCCGGCACTCGGCTGCGGCAGGATGCAGCAGGGCACGCGGAGGTCCAGCAGCTCTCCAGGGCGCAAGTACGTGTCAAACTGCACCACCAGGCCGCGGGCGGCCTGCAGGGCAGTCTCCGTGTTGAGGCCGGCCAGGTACAGGGCCATCAAGCACGCTGCCGCCCAGCAGAGCGGCTCCGAGGTGACGTCCGGCTCGAGCTTGCCCCAGCCGGCGAGGGCGCCCTTCGCCTTCGGGAAGACGCCTGGGGCACGAAGCGACACGCTGAAACGGTAGGCCAAGGCGGCCAAGGTGTAGCGGGCCGTGCTCTTGCTGCCGCCGTCGACGTAGAGCTGCTCGAAGTACTCCTCGAGGAGCGTGTCCACCAGGGGGAGGTCTTTGCTCACCCAGCGGTCGGCGACAACGCCCATGGCCGTGGCGAACACGACGACGCTGGTGAGGTAGCGGGCCTGAGTGGCCGGCCGCACCTGCGAGCGCCGCAGGAAGCCCGGCGAGGAGTCAGCGGGCACCTGGCGGGCCCGGGCACCCGACGCCCGGCCTCTGCCGAGGCTTCGGCCTTGCCCGCGGCCGCGGGAGGCCGACGAAGCGGCCCCGGCCCTCGGCGTCGGGCGGCCAGAGCGCGACCCACTTCCTCGGGCAGCTGGGGCACTCGAGGGGCGGCTGGTCGTCGCCCACCTTGGCTGCACGGCGGAGCTGAGCCTCCCAGTGACCGGGCAGCAGTGGATCCCCATCTGGTCGCCAGGCTCCCGCGGGCGCCGCGCGCGCCAAGGCCCGAGCGGCGCTGTGGCAGACACCAGGAGGGTAGGCGCCAGCCAGAGTCGTGCGCCAGAACTGCTTGAGCCGACCCTGGCGATCACGGACCTTGACCTTCCCCTGAAGATGCTCGTGGGCATGACCTCCAAGACAACGCCTTTCAAGGATACCGAGCTCGGGGAGGTCAGACTCAATCCTGGTGGGCTTCTGGTACGGGGCTCCAAACTGACAGCAGTCATACACCACGGAGACCTTGCTATGCTCGGACAGGAACTTCTGGAGAGGCCCCCAAGAGAAGAGCCGGGATCCCCGGGGGTTCTCGAGGGACCACCTGACGCCGAACTGAACGCACAACCGAAGTAGACGAAGAGTGACATGAGCACACCGCCGACCGGCACGTATAGCAGACGTATCATTGGCCCCACGGCGAGCAACTGACCACGGAGTGCACGGAGTCCCGAAGTGCACGAACCAGACCTTGCGAGAGACGATCCACTGGCGAACGACGGTCTCGATGCTGGGCCGAAGCAGGTCGCCCCAACCCCCGAACTTGATGTCGATCGGAGCCGCGACAGCCAGCCCGACCTGCGCGAGAGCCCCCGTCCAGCGAGCCCCCCCCGAGAAGATCTCGAGAGCCGCCCGACGTCCACGAAGCCGAGGTACAGGAACACGAGCCGGCTCGACCGCGACGAACGGCGCGGGCGGAGGGGGCGGCAGCCCGGGAGGCTCTGTCGTCCATTTTCGGCCAGGCCGGGCATGCAAACGAAGGCTCCCGAGGGCAGGCGGCCCGCGCGGCGCGCTCCCGACGCGCGTGCGCGGCCCGGAGCGGCCCAGACGTGGCGGGGCCCGCTCGGAAGAAAGGGGCCGAGGCCCCGGCACGAGTCTCCGTCCAACTCGTCCGAGGGCCCCAGCTGGCCGCGGCGCAGGCGCTGGCCGCGGCCGTGGGCGGCGCCCGCGTGGGCGGGCCGCCGGCGGCGACAGCTCGCGGGCCCCCTCGGCCTCGTCGAACGTCGCCTCGCGTGCAGGGTGGCCAGGGGCGCCGGCTGCAGGCCCCTCTTGTGGCCGTGGGGCGCGCCGCGGCCCGCAGCGGCCAGCAGCCCCAGGAGCCCGCGGCGGCGGCCGCGGCGGGCAGGACTGCAGTCGGCCGCCGCGCAGCCGCGCCGCGGGGGGAGGCTCGCGAGCCTCCTCGGCGACTGGCCAGCTGGCGATCGCCGAGGGCGCCGGCGGGGCCGGCGTCGGCGGCGCCGACTGCGGGCACCCCGCGGGCGGAGCGGGCCTCTCCGACCTGCCGCCGACCCGCCGCTGCCCAGGGCGGTAGACGCCCTGCAGCGCCTTCCTCGACCCCGCGTCACTGAGGTTGCGGTCCGTGTCGAGGTGCCGGCGCCGCCAGGAGATCCCGCAGGCGATCTGGTAGGCGGCGGCCCTCCGGCACAGACAAGCGAGGCCGAGGTCCACGGCCCGCCCCTTCTCGATGGAGAGGAGCTCCGACATGTTGTCGCCCAGGCTGAGCACTCGGGAGCCATGGCAGTCGACCTGCCGGGCGGCGTGCCGCAGGCCCCCCAGGGCGATGCGGCCCTCCAGCAGGTGAATGGGCCCCCCGCGGCGCCAGGCGCCCTCCACGATGAGAGACCAGTCCCTGGGATCGACGAGGCTGTCGGGCACGGAGGCGCCAGCAGGTCGCACGGTGGGCCTGAGACGGCCCTTGAGCACGCCTCGGGCGCCCTCCCTCGAGCGGGTCGGCGGGGGGGCCCAGACGGCCACGCCTGTAGCGCCCGGCGGCTCCCCCAGCACCCCTCCAGCGCCCGGTACCCAGCCCGGGGAGAAGGTGTCGTCGAGCGCCGCGTCGGGCCGCTTCTCGTCGGGGACGAACCTCCACCTCTCCCGGGTAGCAGCCTGCTGCCGAAGGAGTCGAACGTCAGCGCGTCGGCGGTGGAGGGCGTAGCCTGCCTCGGACGAGTCGGAGCACAAAACCAGGGAGGACATCGGCCGGTCCAAGAAGACGACGGCCTGGAAGATGAGGCCCCTGAAGAGCTGGATCTCCCGACGGGCCCCAGCAGACAGTGCGACTGGAGGCCCCTGACCCTGCGCGTCCACGAGGCGGTGGAGCAGGCGGAAGATCGAGAGGGCCGGCCGCAGCAGCAGGCAGTGCTGCACACAATGCCCGAGGAACACTCGGATCTGCCAGGCCGCGCGCGGGGCCCCAGGGCGCTCGAGCTCCTGACAGGCCAAATAAAGACGCCAGGCTCGGTGATCGGAATGACGCAGACGCCTCCGCCTCCCGTCGTACTCGACGCCGACGGTGGTGAAGTGCGTGGCCGGGCCCTCGACCTCGTGGTACGCGATGCCGAGCGAGTCGAGCCTGTCCTTCGCGGCCTGCAGCGCCTGCCCGACATCGTCGCTCGAGAGGCCCAGGAACGAGACATTGTCCACGTAGACCGACCCTGTGGGGCGGAAGGGTGCCGCGACGGGGGCCGGCTGCTTGTCAAGCAGCAGGCGTCGGGCACCCCCCGGCAGCGTGTCAGAGACCCAGGACGTGACGGACGAGTGCACGGCCCAGAGTGCCCATGACCACCCCATCGGCACCCCGCGGAAGACCGGGGACACGAGCTCGTCGGGGTCGACAGGGGACAGGCCGTCGGGCGTCCAGATGCGGGAGACCTGGTAGTAGGAGGCCCGCTCAAGGAAGTCCAACCCGAAGTCCTCCGCGACGCGCTCCGAGAAGAACTGGTAGAACGAGTCCTGGAGGTCGAGGGACGACCCGAAGATCTGAGCGGGCGAGCCATCAGCACTAACCCGCCCGGCGTCCGAGAGCGCAGCATCGGACCAGTCCTGCTCGCTGAGGGCAGCCGGGGTCCCGAGGGCGGCATGCGGGGGCGCCCAGTGGGTGCGGTTGGTGTCCCGAGCGTCGACGACCAGGCGGATCCACCCGCCCTTCTTCTCGACGAAGAAACACCCCACGCGTGACCTGATCCGCCTCCGGAAGCCGACCAGCCCCCGCCCCGCGAGCCTGAGAAGGAAGTCCCGACGAAGGCCGGCGTCGCTGGCAAGCCGCGCGTCCCAGTACGGCTTGATCGGCGGCAGGAGCTCGAGGTCCTGCTCCACCACGCGGTCCGGCTTGCGGATGTAGGCGTCGGGGTCGCGGAAGGCGTCGACGACGAACTTGGGGCAGACCTCCTCCACGTCTCGAGGCGTGACCGAGGACTGCCAGAACTCGAGCTTGGACTCCTCGTGCGGGACGACCTTGGACGGCGCGCCACCGTAGAGCGAGTCGGACTTGAGGAGCTCCTGAAGGGCTCCGCGAGGGTGGAGATCTGCCGGGCGAGGGCCATACTCCGCCACGCAGCGGCCGAGCTGCCGGCCACGCGAGGACGAAGTCGCCGTGCCCGAAGTCCCTGAATCGGCAGCGCCACCTGGCCCGCGGCCACGATGGCGCACCGTGCAGGCGGCGAGACAGTTGATCGAGCGAACTGCCTCACGAACACGGTGTTCACGAGAGCGTCGCTGGAGCACCCGCTGGCGCAGGTACCGCGGCGCCCCGCTGAGGTCGACCGGCGGGCCAGGCCCCGGGACCGAAAGCGGCAGCGGGTCCCCGTGCGAGGAGCGTGATCCCGATGCCATGGGGAGGACGTGGAGGCGGCCGCGGCGGAGGAACCCGCGGCGGCAGCCAGGCAGGGCGGGGCGCCGCAGGACGCCCAGCCCAAGGAGGGGGCCAGCCGGCCCCCTGCTACTTGCCAGCGTCGGCCCCGCCGCCCTTCGGCCCCTTCGGGGGCGCCTTGGGCTGCGCGGCCGTCCTCTCCTCCTGCCACTGCCGATTCGCCTTCATGGTCTGGGCGCGGGCGCGCGCCTGGTCGCCAACCCATCCGTCGCACTCCGGCAGCACCATGCCGCCCGTGTCGTCGACCCCCGTGTCGAGGATGAGGTCCAGCCCCTCGAAGTCGGGCGCCCGAGGGTTCTTGCGGGTCGCCGACTCCAGCTGCTTGAGCCGCCTGACGAGGTACTCCGCGCCCGCAATGTTGAACAGGTCGAGCTGGTCGAACTGCTGCATCATCCGAAGAGACACGCAGATCATGTGGTGCTCGCGGGCGACGTTGCCGCGCTCGGCCACTCCACTGCGTCGGAGCCACGTGGTGTGGTGCTCCTCCCAGTTGCCCTGACCTCCGTCTCGAAGGGAGAGCACAGCTTCCCTCGTGGCACGGCGGCCCTGCAGAGGCCAACCTGGGATCGTCGCCTCCTTCATACGACGGACCGAGTCCCGGAAGTCGATGTACCTGCCTCCGTCCTGGTCCCTCTCGTCGCCCACGACACGCGGGTCCCGGCCTGCGCCTCCGCGAGCTCGGGCCAGGTACGTGTCGAAGTTCTGGCCCTCGCTCACCTTGATCGCGTGGATCCAGACGTCGTCGAGCCGAACCAGCCCGACATCCCCACGACGCACCAGGACCTCTTCGTTGGCGAGGACCTGGGGGGGCACCTCCTCGCCGAAGTGCGACGAGGTGGGGTCGCTCACGTACCACTTGTCCCCCGGGAGGCCCACGACGCCAGCGAGGTCGAACCCGAGGATCGTGCCCAGGGCCCTGGCCTCCTCGAGGTAGCCCTGCATGTCCTCCGCCGCCACTTCGTCGAAGGAGTAGATATTCCCAGCATGCCGTGCTGGGAAAGGGCCCGAGCGCCGAAGGGCCAGCACTCGAAAGGTGGCCAGGTCGACGAAGGCCACCTCCCCGTCCGGCGTGAGCCAGATCCACTTCTGAGCATCTCCCTTCACCAGCAGCACGCGGTGATGCCACTGGAAATTCTCGTCGTCCTCGTACCTGACGAGGCACTGGCTGAACGGCGTGTCCAGCGCACGGGCCATGGCGGCCCTCAGTCAGCACGAGCACCAGGAGCCCGCCGGCCTCGCCCGAGAGCCGACGGCGTCGCCACGTGCGTGCCGCCGGCGTCGTCCTCGACGGCGAGGGCGCGCGCTCGCACCGCCGGCCGACCCGGCGATCCAGCCGCCAGCCAGGCCGCGGTCGCCAGCCCAGCGCCAAGGGCCACGCCCACCACGGCCGCGCCGCAGAGGTCGAGCCCCGTGTAGTGCCCAGGAGGGAGCGGGCACGGAGGGCAGGGCTGGCACGCGACCCCCTGCAGGTGCTCCGGGCCGCAGCGTGCCAGCTGCTCCCGGAGGATGGCCACCAGGCCGTCGGTCGTGTCCGAGCCCTCGAACACGCAGCGGCAGGAGACCTCGGCGAGCCCGCTGCGGCCAGGTCCAGTCCAGCGCTCGGAGAGCGCCCCGAGAACCCACCCGC